GCTTCTCACATTCCAGACGACTTCCGATCTTATCAGTAACAAGAAATGTTAGTAGTGACCTGTGTATGGCTCTGACATATCGTGACCTAAGTGCAGTAATGAGTTAAATCCTTCTAAATTCAATAGGAGTTAACCAGTTATTGCACTAAGGTGACAATATAACCTCTTTAATGAGAAACAAGTACATCCAATACTAAGCCATCATTCAAGGAAATATTTTTGCTCTTTTTATCTTGAATGTCTTGGGAAGCTTAATAAAAGTAAAAATAAATAAGTTTTAGCACTATATATAAATTACATATTATATTTACAACATATTTCCTGACAATTTTTACAACAACAACAAAGTACCTGTGTTTACAACATTGAGTTGGCAAGGCTATATGAAATGAGAGACGTCACATGAAAAGAGACCATTATTCTCATTTGTTCTTTTATTAATATATTTTGGCTTGAAAGGTTTTTAACAATCTGAAAAACTATGATTGAAAAATAAATTATATTGAGTCAGATTTGTTTACAGTTATATACTTCCCTAGCTCCAACAGGTTTGAGTTTCCCTGACACCTTTTTTCAGACACGGAGTAACATTTTGCTCTAGTAGTCGGGAGCATTCATTTAAAGTAAAACTCATTAATATTTTAGCTTGACTGTGCAGAAAACATTCAGCTACTTGAACTAATCTTGTTTACATCCTCAAAAAAACCAGTAAGGTTTTATTTTCTTGAGCTCTTCAACCTAATCAAAAAGCTATCTTATTTACACCTAATCAAAGACCCACTTATTTTAGGTGTACTTCAACCTTATCAAACATCCATTTTCAGTATACTGAAAACTTATTTAAGACCCATCTTATTTTCAGTGATCTTCAACCATCAAAGACCCAACTTAATTGTTTGGTGTCATTAAACCTAATCAAAATACAATGTATATATATCTTCCCCCTTATCAAACAAAATTACATTTTAGAAAAAAAAAAACAACAAAAAAACCCTCAAAAAACATACAAAAATGAAATAGAATACAAAAGATTACAAACGAGCGATTTATAAATGAAAACGTGCGATGAAAGGTAAGCGTTTGGCACTAATAAAATAAACTTTTCTAATGATCTTCGTCATTAATATCGAATACAATAAATGAAAAAACACAATTTGTACAAGTACAATATTATTCCATCTACATCCTTCATTTAAGGGCCCATTATGTCTCAGAAATGCTTACAATTTTATTTCCAAAAAACTTTTTTTTTAAATCTTATCACAGTTTCAAAATAATATTCATTTACCATTTAACTTCAGCTCAGTGTTGGCAATCAGTACAATTTAATATAGTGAAATTGAATAAGTATTTTGTATGGAAGCCAAAATACTACTTGGTTTACATTTTGCTATCTTTAGGGCACATAACTGCACATTCAGAGCAAATCTCTTAGTTGTTGCTCATTTAATATGCTCTAAATCCATTGTTTTAAAACGTTACAAAACACATGTTTGACCTTTCCGAAGAATTGAAAAAAAAATATGGATTTCTTAGGCTTAATGTGCCTTTAAATGCAGATAGAATATTATGTTACTAGATGATTAAAATGATAATTCTAGATCAGCAGCAATTAAATGATGAAAATGGCATATGATTCTTTCTATTTTAAGTCAGGTATACAACATATTATCACACAAGCTCTAAAAAGTTTTTAAAAAGATTAGTTCTGTAATTCAAAAAATCTGCGCAGTCTGGTCTGTATCCATGCTGGTCGCAAACCCATTATGTTGGTTTTGTCATGGCGCGGCTCATAATTATAATTCTTTTGTGATTTGGATGAAAAGATAATCTCCAGTTGCTTGTCCAGTTAAATTATATCACAGAATTATTTTTTTATTTCAGCATTTTGGGTAATATTAAATTTTACTACTGTCTCAATCTTGAAAACAATATTTCTGATGTTCTTCCCAGTTCCAGCCATTAAAAAATCTGCTCATAGGTACAAACTATTCAAATTTCAACTTGAAGCTAGTTCATTTCACCCAATAAAAACAAAGACAGCTAAATAAGGCATAACAGATTTCTATCAATTTTGAAATCCCAGATTTAAAAAACCCGAACAAATTATTGTTATTAACATGGACTGAGCCGCTCAACATTCTGTATTAAGGTGCATGTACACACATGGGCAGTCAGGTATTCAGGAAACGTTTCTGGCAAAGCAAATAATGCTAAATTAGTGACACTCTGCTCTATTCCTAGCACATAAATAATCTCTGTTGGTAATAGATCATGATAAAAGTCAAGATCTAAAATCATACATGTACAAATTATACATGTATATACATGTATATAAAAATATCATGGTTGTTAGAGATTTTATTTCTCAAGTAAACCCTGTCTGTTTTTCTTTCATCATATATGTATATCATATGTGACATAAAAATTGCAATGTACGTATCAGAAAAACCAAACATTTTACAAATAACAAAAATGTTTCTTTTGTTCTACAAGTATATCATATATGTACATTTTTGCTTAAAGGAACTCCACTGATGTCAGAAAAACTAAGAACATAAAAACTGACATTCTTACTATTAAAATGGAAGAAATTTCCGAAAAAGGTAGTTAAGAAATATTCTCACTTTACATGATTTTAAGCCCAGATTGAGTGAAAAGCATTGAAACGCTTTTTCATTTTTGACCATTTTTTGGTCATTTTGCACAATAAAAAAAACTATTCTAGGAAAACAGAGGGAGGGAATGATCTGAAATTTTGCAAAACAAGTTATTAGTCCAGACCTACATTATATACATTAAATATAACACAAGTTTCAACAAAAATTTTCCTGTCGAAAAACTTAAGTGGAGTCCCTTTAACACAGATGCAAATGTAACTGAGTCCCTTTAACACACATGCAAATGTATCTATCTATAACGTAATTAAGGAAAACTGGGGTTAATCAATTGTCCTTCATGTAGCATGCAGGATCAATGTTTTATATGAGCTACACTTTGAATACAAAAATTACTTTTTTCCTCTATGACCTGAAAAGCATGATTGTGTTGCAAGGCTGAAAATTTGATTGTTCTTGTTGAAGAATGAAAACAAATTAAAACTAAAGGCATGCAGTGTCAAAGAACTTAAGACGTAAATGAAAGCCACTACAATATTATACAAGTACAATTTACTAAAAAACATAGTCCAAATATATAATAATAATGTTACTAAGTGATTGTTTTTATTATATAACTTTACAATGTATGTCTTAATATTAACCTGTTTCAAAACAAGAACTGTCGGAGGACAGTAACGCTCAACTATTCAAAAATTTGTCACAAGGGTGTTTCATTGAGTATAATAATGCTTACCTATATGAATACATAAAATTGTCCGAAAAGGTACAAACCCTTCAAGTTTCAATACATTCCCTTCAGTAGTTATGGAGATACAAGCTTACACACAAAAACTTAACCAAGAATTTATGAATTGAAAAAGGGGCATAATTATGTGAAAAAGTAAATCAGAGTTATGGGACTTGTGCCAATCATCTTAGATAATTACAGACAACAAGAGTGTGAAGTTTCAATCCATTCCCTTCAGTAGTTATGGAGATACCAGCTTACACGCAAAAACTTAACCAAGATTTTCTAAGTCGAAAAAGGGGCATAATTATGTAAAAAAGCAAATCACAGTTATAGGACTTGTGCCAATCATCTTAGATAATCACAGAGAACAAGTGTGTGAAGTTTCAATCCATTCCCTTCAGTAGTTATGGAGATACCAGCTTACACGCAAAAACTTAACCAAGAAATTCTAAGTCGAAAAAGGGGCATAATTATGTAAAAAAGCAAATCAGAGTTATGGGACTTGTGCTAATCATCTTAGATAATCACAGACAACAAGTGTGTGAAGTTTCAATCCATTCCATTCAGTAGTTATGGAGATACCAGCTTACACGCAAAAACTTAACCAAGAATTTCTAAGTCGAAAAAGGGGCATAATTATGAAAAAAAGCAAATCAGAGTTATGGGACTTGTGCCAATCATCTTAGATAATCACAGAGAACAAGTGTGTGAAGTTTCAATCCATTCCCTTCAGTAGTTATGGAGATACCAGCTTACATACAAAAACTTAACCAAGTATTTCTAAGTCGAAAAAGGGGCATAATTATGAATTAAAGCAAATCAGAGTTATGGACTTGTGCCAATCATCTTAGATTATCACAGAGAACAAGTGTGTGAAGTTTCAATCCATTCCCTTCGGTAGTTATAGAGATACAAGCTTACATACAAAAACTTAACCAAGAATTTCTAAGTCGAAAAAGGGGCATAATTATGACAAAAAGCAAATCAGAGTTATGGGACTTGTGCCAATCATCTTAGATAATCACAGAGAACAAGTGTGTGAAGTTTCAATCCATTCCCTTCAGTAGTTATGGAGATACCAGCTTACATACAAAAACTTAACCACAGGGACACCGACGCCGACAAATGGGTGACTGCATTAGCTCGATTATTCTGCAAATAGTCGAGCTAAAAATTAAAAAAAACTATGACTGTTTGTCTAGGGAGCTTCATCAAACAAATTCTAGAGTATCCACAGACACATCCAATGTTTTCACGTCCTTTAGACACAGTAAAATATATTTTACAAGTGCATGTTAAAAATTCTCTGTTTAAACACATAATAATTATATTGTATATTATACTTTGTAAACTCTGTGTTACAAGACCACATTGTATTGTTCAATATGAATTCTACATTACAAGAGCACAATGTATTTTTCCTTGTGAAAAATGTTACAAAAAGAAAAGGTATTTTTCCTTGTAAAAAATGTTACAAAAACACAAGGTATTTTTCCTTGTGAAAAATGTTAGAATAACACAAGTATGTATTTTCCTATATAAATTTACCTGGTGAAAGGACAACATTTATATTAATGGTGCATTTAACAACATTGTACAACTTTTTAATGATGATATAATGAAAATTTTACTAAAGGCCATAGCACTGTAATGTTGATATATATAAACAAATATATGATAAAGTGTATCATTTATAGTGATTTCTTCAATTGATTATCAGTCACTCAGACTCAGAGAGAAAAAATAACATTAATCATTACTCATGGACAGTACAATGTTGTATTAATTATGTTTTACATACAAACGATAATCACCAAATTTTCTGATGAAAACCAGTTTTTAGTGCTGGCGTTTTTAGTTCAAAATTTGAAACTTTCATTCACCTAATCCTGTTTATATTTCTATTCTAGTATAAAAAAACAATAATGCCACATCACTTTATTTCAACTGTTAAATCAATATCATTCTGGAAGTACAATGTATAAATTTTTGAATTTTTTTACAGTCATGTGAAGTCAAAAAGCTTTTGAGTAGGTTTGAAATCTAAACATGAATATATATGTATAATAAAACTCTATTTTCATAAAAAATGTTCTATAATATATATAAAATAATAATAATCATGATAACAATTTTAATATCTATGTGCGAACTTGATTTGTTATTGCAGACTATGACAAGTTTCACAACAATATAACGATATGGAAAACTCTTAGAGCACTGCCACCAGCCCAAAATAAACTGTAAGGTGGGGGTCACATGGTCTGATATCTAAAAATGGAATTCAATAAATGTATAGCTTATATTTTTTGTTAAACCGGACTGCTATCCCAGTGGGCATTTCTTCGTTTGACCGTTTCTTTGATGAAATCTTTATGGCTTGCGTAAAGTTCTAGACCACTATCTATGTCCTTCCACTGAACTGCTTGGGCGTCATCACCTGTTAAAACAAGAGCAGACATAAAATTTAGTATGACCTTCACCAATATGACATTCACCTTTGACCTTCAAAACATACACCAATATCTTGTTGATTGACAAAGGCAATCATTGTTTTAATGTTAAAAGTCTCACTATCAGCAGATGAAGGAAAAGTATTTTTACAGACATTGAATATTTGAATGGATTTGCAACCCATCAAGAGAAAAGGATTTGCAATATAAATTAAGAGTATAACACTATTCAAAATTAAGAATGGCTTTGTATACACAGATATCTTATATACAGTTTATGTTATTAACCCCTTTCAAAAACTTATCCTTTTAAAAACAGAAATTCACCAAACAGTTGTTCTAAATAGACAGTTTGAAAAAACACTGCGGTCACATGACCTAAAAGAGTCACTATGGTCACATGACCTAAATACAAAACTAAAGGCACATGACTATTATTTCCTTTCCAACTTATGTATGAAACAAGGTCTGTCAGTGGGACAGCACGCTTGACTATTCAAAGTGCTGGATAGTAAAACAAGGGCCTTGATTATAGAAAGTTAAAAAAAGAGCTATAATTTTGTCAAAATCCATGTAATAGTTATGTACCTTGGACGGTGACCTCCTATTGTGCTTTCAAATAAGTGTGTAAATTTTCAACCAATTCCCTTCAGTAGTTTTTGAAATACTAACTTGCACGTAAAAACTTAACAAAAGTATGTTGCCCATGCAGGAGCAACTACAATACCTGGTAGCTGTGCTTATTCTTAGAATAATCAAGCTTAAAATGTATCACAGAGACTTTGTTTGGATTGACTCTTGACCTGCTGGATCTTGAAGAGATAAGCCTTTGGCACTAGTATAGAGCCAGGCCAGCATGCACATCTGTTTATCCTTACCAAGCTCTCTACTGTTGGTAGCCCACTTTTATATTATGATATGAAAATTCTTTCAACTTTAAATGGACTGTTCCAAATTCAAAGCAGGGCAAATTTGTTACGCGAAATCAGCAGTGTTAAGGTAAATTACCTGCATGTAACTGGAAAGCTCCCACCCCAGTGCCATCATCATCATGGAAGTTAATGGCCTTCGTCTCCATCCATGAATTGTCCGTGTTACGAGGGTCATTCAACATATCCTCTAGTATATCTTAAAAGTGTATTTAAATTTGCAAAGTATATTTAAATTTTTTGAAACATCCCCCGCAATTCATAGAACAACTGTTATGTGATATGAATTTACCCCATTAAACACAATAAAGGATAGCAAGACTAATATTTACATCGGATTTTCCTTACATTGGATAGCCCTTACATGGACCTTTCACCGGCAATAATGCAAGTAATGACAAAATTAAAATCTGAAACTTCAGAATCAGTATACCAATTGCAAGATCTGAAGCAACAGTAATAAACTAATAATATATACCACTTCTCCTTTATTAACAAATAAATCTGTGAGCATTCTCTTAATTTTTTGTTTTTCTTCATCTGTCTTTTCTAACGAGTTGAGAGCTTCTTCGCCAAACTCACGTATCAAGGTCGCCGTTCTGTTCTCACCGGGATCAACCATTCCCTAAAACACAATAAATAAAAATAGAGCTGCCATCGATAGAAACAATATCAATGTATTGTTGATTTATTTCTGTCAATCAATAATTTGATACACATTCTAAAAAGTCTTTAACTTTGACTAATTAATTAGACGTTTAGAAATTATGAAAAATCAGACAAAACATATACAGAAGCAGGCAGGTGTTCAAAGTCTAACACTACGCTGTTGTTACAGTTCGCCAAAGTTTGTCTACCAATGAAATTGCTCCATTTTGTTTAAATTTTGCCGAAGTATTTTCCATACAGTGCTGTAACTCGACTGTATGTATTAAATACATTAAATGAGCCGATTTAATGAACCTCGCCTATTTACATAGTGCACATGGTTTGAATAGGCGGGCTTACTGTAAGTCGGTTATAGGTTATATACAGAGTTTTAAGAAACTAATTTTCTCGCTTCACTTTGTTCGCTCGAAAATTAATTTCTTAAAACTCTGTATATAACCTATACTTACATAAAGGCAATATTTCATAGCCATGATGACAAATAATTACAGACAGGAAAAAATCATGCAATGGTCATTTATAAACAAGACACTGAACAGAATATTTTTTATTGTATAAGGGTTTCATTTATTTTATATAATGTGTAATATAAAGAAATGCTTAATGATTCTATAACTTTGAAAACAAAAGAAGTCATGTGACACAAAAGAAAATGTTACCCCTGGTAAAGCCCATTCACCATTGTCCCTTCTCTGTACGGACACAAACTGAAGGACAGGTTTCCCGTCACCTCCGATCACAATTTCATTATTCTCATCCCTCTTCCATCTGCAATACAATAAAAACAATGTTTTGGCTAGCTGCAAAATAATTTGCTTCAGCTTCATTCTAGTGTAAGTAAACTCTGACCAAATTGTACGATGATGGTTGATTAATCCTAAAATTTGTTTTCAAAATCATTAGATTTACAATTCAAAGAAAGTTCAACAGTTGGCCAGTATTTAGGTTATTTTATTATGATACATATTTACCCAAGTAGTTTTACTACATCATGTTTCACTAAAAACCTGTTTAGTTAGGCATCAGTACTAGTTTTCCAGGGGGGATCTGGAACTTGATTTTCACCCTTTGCCCCCCCCACCCCAAGCTAAATCTCAGTGAGGGCTTAACCCCCGACCCCCTTCTTATTGATCCATGCATGATTGACCTACATGCCATGGACACTCAATAACTTGACCCCTTTAGACAGAATACTCTCTCTACTCGGCTAACCACAATGACTTATATTTATGACAAAATAAGAGCTGTTGGTAGGAGAGCGTGCTAGACTATTCTCAGTGCTAGATAATACAACAAAAGCCTAGATAATGTATAATTTTCTAAGTAAAAAAAAGGCCATAATTCTTTCAGAAACCATGTAATTGGCCTTGCATGAATGAACACATGTGTGAGTACAATAGCTCTCCCTGTTTTTAGAATAATTGAGCCAAAACGATATCTCTTACCTAGTTACAATGGGATCTGCAGCATGATTTGGTCCCCAACGTCCAAGACATCCACGCCCAGTAACGCCTGTGCGACCTCGAGGATTTCTACAAACATTGATATACAGTGAATGAATCAAACTTGACTTGACATCAAACATGACATTTTGAAATAAACCATAAACAAAACAAAAAATATCTAGGAATAGCATACATGTGAACTTTTTTAGCTGATAAAGTGGGAGATATTTCTTCAAAAAAAGGGAGATTTTAGAATTTGCAATAAACAAAGAAGGAAGTTCTGACATCAAAAAGAGGGAGACTTTTTTAATTTTTGAAAATATCCCTTATTTTACGAGAAGTCTTCAAAAAACATGGCTGCAGAAAGTGGGAGTCTCCTGCTCAAAGCAGGAGAGTTCACAATCATGTAATACTATGCAATAGTAATCTATTAAAGTAAAGTAAAGTCTAAGAATATATTTTTTCACTGAAGTAAACTTCAATTTACTGTATCAGTGGTTAAGTTGGTGGTGTATTTCAGTGCCCCAGCTCATCTGTGTAAGAAATTCTAATTTTATGGGTTTTTTTTGCTTTTTGACCTCATTGGAGCTTTTTTAAAGAAAAAAACCTTCTTTACCTTGGATATCCATCAACCACCTCATAGCCCTTTCCCTCGTAAGTTTTTCTATTCACATTGCATGATGTATCCACTGTATTGAAAGCCTGAATTTCACTATAAAATAAAGTATACATATTTTATATATTATAATATTTACTTTTGAGACTGGGATAATTCATAATATTAACATGGAGGGGACAGCAGTGTGCATGGTGTTTTTTCTTGGGACAAAAAGGGCTGACTGAAAAAAGCAGCAGGACAGTCACAGAGCACCCTCTCATTCCGCATGACAATAATCACTGCAATGCTTTCAAATATGTACTTCTGTCCTGTACTTCAACGGATTGTTCATGTTTATCACAATTATTATTTTGCTATATAATCTGCAATGTGTTAATGTCACCATTTATAATTTATAGCTAAAGAAATCAGTTGATCAATTCTTAATTTCTTATACCATTTCAGGAATACTGATTAGAAAACTTAGATATCTTAAACTGATAAGTCACAAAAACAAAATTAACGGCAAGGACACTCAGATGCTAGCAAAAGTTTAACATTGCCTCATTGCAACGCCATCCCATTTTCTCGATTCCCTAGTTATTCATAAAACACTTCATATTTCAGTGATGTCGCTTCATTGAAAGAACTGCGTTATTCATGTTTGATGTATGATGACAGTATCAATACTTCATATATCATAAAACTTATCTTAACTTTAAGATCAACATTAGTTAACTAAAAATATACCTTGGATCTGGAGGGTCTGCCCACACAGGCTGTGATAATACACTCTTACTTGTGAAGTTTACAGGTTCATAGTCTAGAAAATCAACACTCCATGGCACTTTATCATCAGGAACTGGACATCGAAAAACCTCTTTTTCTCGAGGATAAATTTTACATCTAGCTTTCATATGTAAACTCATTATGAATTGTTTTGTACTTAAGTTTCTAGCACATGAAATTTGCTGTTGTGGTTGGCTGAGATATGTTGGTGGCTGACTTGCTGTACGACCTTTTGTGTTCACTTTGGCACTGGACGTTATTGACGATCTTACAGCTGATTGTCTTACACAACCCTTGAAGACTATTTTTCCAACACGATGGCCCATTAACTGTAATTCAAATGACATAATATTAGATAAATGTTTAGTGTTTAGAGCAAAAACTAAGACAAACAAATTTAAAAATTCCGGCCACACACTTGGAAAAAACACAAATAGATCAGTGATATTTTCCTACATTTAATAGCCAAATAAAGGCTGATTAATCTAGTCCAAAATAGATATATTTCCCCATAAAAATGCTATATTTTCCCCTAAAATAGCCTCTGCTATGTACCATGCATGTTAAATTGAATTGAAATTTTTCACCAAATGTGTAGATAAACTCCATTCTCAATTGTTGGAATTTGATTTCTGGTTCCCCCCCCCCCCCTTTGAGATATATTGTGCTAAATTTACCCCTGACAGGAAGCTGCAGATTGTTTTGGAAATTGAAAAAAAAAATCACTACACTGAGATGCTGGCACTTGACCAACGTTGGTTTCGAGGGACATTGCAGGAGTACAGTTCCCTGTTCAAAAACAGTTCTTTAAATTGCATCGACAAAAACCATCACACTAGATATCACATGTATCAGTTCAAACTTGTATCCAAAACAGTATTCACTTATGGGCAATAGTTAACACCACATGCAGTAAATATTGGACATACTTAAAAATAATGAAGAAAAGAGTTGTTGCTATATGACAGCATGCACCTGGTGAGTTCATGGATATTGTGCGGGATATTGTGAAGCGGTATTCAATCTTCAACACTTTATGTGCTAGAACCAATGATCCCAAAGGACCAGAAAAAATATAACAGCACTGTTCAACAGCTTTTCAAAGTGAAGTAGGAGGCAATATGTTATAGCTGCCACATGGCACAGCCACTGTACATTATATTCATGTGGTGTCAAGCATAAGAAATCTGAAAAAGTGGTTATAGCTCAGAAGTAATGAAAACAACAAAATTACATGAAAATTGCAGACTTGGTTTGATTAAGTCTGTTCATGAATTTGCTTATCAGGAAATTATGACTGATAAGTTCAAACAATAACAAATGAATGCATAACATGTATAATAATAACTGAGATTTTGCTAATTCTAAAAAGATCAAAGTAATTATTTTTCATATAAATGACAGCAGATCAGGAAATTGTGCAATGTTGATTATACATGTATGTATGCCAATAAAACATGAATGCATGTGTTCAACTGGTTTCGATTTTCATTTGACAGTATCAGTATATGAACCTTAAATCATATGACCCTTAATTTAAGCCTAAAAATGGGGCTTAAAGGGAATTTAACTTAGCAAAAATAAAACGTGTATATACACATACCTGGAATGTTTACTGTTATTTACCTGTCAAGTACAGGGGAGTGCGGTGTGCCTAAAATACGTAAAGTGGCGTAAAGGGGCGTAAAGTGGCGTAAAGAAGCGTAAAGTGGCGTAAAGTAAATATAAAGTGTTTATTTCGGTAAAAGAAAACGCTTAATTATTTAAAATAAATAATAATAGGTAATCACTTGGATTAAAGGATTCTTTTTACATACTTAACTCTTATCAAAAACAATAAAAAAGTAGGGGAGGCCGGAATACTCTAGGACACGGCATTGAGGAAATGTTTTCATTTTTATCTCAGTTATACATAACATAACATAATATAACTTGACATAACATAACTTTTATTCAACAATAAAATAGTAACAACAAATTCATAGTCGATTTACAGTGCAAAGTGAGACACAGGATTTCATAACCTAGAAGTACATACATTTATACATATATATTTCGAACTGAGAAGTTCTCTGCCCGAGGAATGCCAATCACATAAAAATAATATATGATAGCATTCATACTAATATTTAGATAACAAAATCAGTGTGCATAATAATCAGAAATGTATTTAGGGAGAGAACTCTGCAAGTGTGCGAATCGTTTCCCTTCCCTGGCAAAATTGAATATCTATGCGTGAAACGTGTGCCCAACTAGTATCGGGAAATATTATGTGCAGCTATTACAATTAATTTATTTAATAACTTTATCTAAAGCCATACAGAGCGTATGTAAGGACTTAAATTCATATAATGATTTATTCTGGGGCATGTTGACGACAACAGATCGAAAAAATTAAGGTCTTTTAAGATATGAAACATTACTGTATTTCGACATAATCGCTCAGCCTTTCGAAAATTTCGAAACTAAAGACCGACAATATAGACCTGGTGATTTAACATGTTACTATATATTAACAGCTTATTGCTAAGATTACAACTAGCTTGTCACATGTTTCACTACATAAGATTAAGTCACATACAAAAACATGTATGCAGGTTTAATAGTAACATTTATTATAAGGCATGTAAGATACAATTACAGTGTACAACACAACACAAATTCAAAGCATGTATAAGTATATATCTTTAGATAATACAATAAATTTTACAAAGACGTTCTTTAAATGCACAAAATAAAAAAAGTGTGCTACAACTTTTGCAATGTTCGTGTTTGTATGGCTTATTTGTTAATTTCGAAATTAAAATGATTGTCATATCAGCATAAAATTATCACATTATCAAAGAATCCTCAAACCAAATAGGATTAAAAAGGGAAGGTTAAAAAAAGTTATTTACCAAAACCATCAACTGTATAATAATGATTTGTGATATACTTATAGATAATTTCAAAAAATGACTATGTTTCTAATGTATTCTGGAATGTCTAACTGAAAAGATGTTTATAGAATAATTAACATTATCCCGACAATTGAGTAGATTTCCTATATTACTAATAGGGAAACAAAAAATTGTTAGCATCTTTAAAAATAGAACATTGAACAAGGAAATGACCACATAAAACAAATACACAAGTGAAGCTGATACGCATATGTATCAATGTAACTGAACATCTTATTGGCATATGAATGGTATTCTGAAAATGGACGTTTAAAAATTATAAAGGGAAACAAAGTAAAGGAAATAATAATTAATTTAATGAGCATTTTTGACAACATTCTTTCAATTCATAGAATTATAGCTATATTAAAGATATACTATGCTCATCATTAAGTAAAATATTTTTAATAGCAAAAATGTATTGAAATCGTATGAAATTCTTGCTTAATATGTCTAGTTTGAAAAAAGAATGAATGTAAAATGAAAAGCTGCATTCCCTATTGCAGGTCAAGTACGTTTGATCACTATATATTCATAGTTTGACCATCTATAGTGTGTAGAGTTTTAAACACCACATACCTACATGTTTTTTTATATAATTCAAAGAGAATGTGTATCAATTATCAATAGTTTTCTAATATCACATTTGAACATAGTATTATCTTATTTTTTCAATATGACAATTTTTAGAATTTAATGAATTTTCTTTTAAAACATATGAGAACATTGCCTCAAAAAATAAATATCATTTTCAATCATAACAAATAAACAGTATATATTACGTTTAATTCATATATATATATTGACTATTTTATACATTGTCCATTACTTATGGTTTGTTGCTCTTTCAGCTGCGCGTTCTTCGCCGTTGAATGCGGTTTTTTTCCTGCACTCGGTGTGTTTTGGTAAAGTAAGCCATCCATTAGTTGATGTTACAGTATTAGAGCGCCCTTTATCTCGGTAGAATTTATTCAAAGCAGTGTGTTCCGTTCCTCATGTGGTTTTATTAACCCACACATCAACACTTAAACAATGGTGTTCAAAATTTCTTTGAGCAATTTCAAATTGCCTACACTTACAAGTGCTTTTTCCCACGTCTTTGTACATAGAGTTGACAAAATCGTTTGAATTGTCTCAATAAGAGTTGTTAAATCTTCCAATTTGTGGTTTAGTGCCGAGATTTTAAGTATATTATTCATGCTTTCGGCATTATTGTTAGACCACTGTTTTTCGATATGTCTTAATCTCCCGGAAAGATTGACGTATTCACGTATCAAAGGCTTCAATGCGAGTTTGAAGATACGGCTTGAACCTAGGGCCATCGTATCTACGATGCCCCATAAATTATCCATTTTCTGGTTATAAACTATAGTGTCGCTAGCATTTGCTACGCCGTCTTCTCCGAACAGTTCATTTATAAGTAATTTACGTTCTTTTTCGTCGACGCCTACTTTTTTTATCAGATATTCTTTAACATTTTGCCGAAGATGCCGTGTACAGATTACTTGGTCGCACCAACAAAGGACCTTTTTAGACTCTTCCGTAACGCAGTCTCGTCGTCTGATCCTATTATTAATTTATCTAATTCCGCGTCACTGAATTTCGAGGCCACATTAGAGAAAAATACATTAAAAGTTTCGAAGTCAGATTTTCTATGTAAAAATGAAGGTCCTAAGAATATTGGTGGTGCGCCTGTATCACACCTAACCACAGACAAGTTTTTAAATACGGTTGTAGTCAAAAATAATTGTCCTAAATTGTATGTCTTATCAACACCAAGTATAGATCCGTTTTCTTTACAACAAAATCTTTTAATGTCCTGAATCTGCTCATCCGTGTAAAGTACAACGGATGGCCCTGGCGGTGAATGTATCACTGACCTAATGAAGCTATGTCCCAAGTAAACTTTATTTTCAATGTTTAATATGTGATCAGCAATGTTTCGTAGGTGTAGAGTGTCCTTTTCATTTCTAGCTTTACGATTTTCACTATATTTCATGTTCTGCATTTGTTTCAAGTTCCTAGGCAATTCGTGGATATCATTGCCGTTGTTCAGATGGTCATGTACATTTTTTGCGCTGTCTGTTTTTAGCATCGCCTTTGCTTTTACTTTCAGAGCTGGCTTTGCTCGAATGTAGGGTTGGTAATTGTTCTTAGATTTAGTTAATTCATGCACCCTTCTGTCTGGGAAACGTCCTGAATACTCATAGATGACACAGTTTGTACGTAAGTCTTCATAGCCAGATGGAACATTTCCAATCCACGAGATACGTCGTTTGTATTCAGCACTTGCTTTAAGTTTGTTATATGACCTATTGATCACAAGTAAGTCCTTAGCCTGTGGTTGAGGGCTCAAAATTTCAAATTTTTTTCCGGGTTTTTCTACACAAAACTGTCCATGTCTTTTTGTAAGAAACAAAAGCTTTCCATCAGTAGGCAAGCAGTATTGTGCTGGAGCTGCGCTTTTTGCCCATGCACCACAATCGTCCCAGAACTCACGTTTTAAACCTGCACGTTCACGTTCGTCCATGGAGGTTTTGTCAATAATGAAGTAAATGTCTTCTTTGATGCCCGCCGGAACAGCATCCAACGTACCTTCGTGATTTCTAAACATGTCCATGAGTATATTTGAGGTCAAAAATTTTCCGTTGATTAAAGGTCCTCTGAACGGTCCCTCTCTTGGCACAGTCATGACCTGCCTCATTAACACTACAATGAGTATCAACATCACTTTCAATTAAACCAACTATTCCATTAGAACTATTCTCTGACGTGTCCACAGGTCGCACGCGGACTCGTTTTGTTGTTTTGTGACGCTTTGGGGAAGGCGCAGTTGAAGGTGAATCTGAAATATCACTGACACATAAATCCGAGAGACTTGTAAATCTGTTGCACAATTTGATTGGTTCATAGTTAAGTTCACTGACATTTGAACGCCTCTTCCGCATTAACTTGTGCCATTCATTAGGCGTTGATGTCTGGGGCGGTTTACTAGGTGGGTCGACGCAGTCCGGGCTACTTTGGTGCGATGTGGTGCAGCACATGTCGGGGCTAGAAGCCAGGTGTGGAATGCTTGTTGTGTTTAACCCTTTCGCAGCAGCGATGTTATCACTTGTTCCGTGTTTGCACTCAGGTTCGTTCAGTGAAGGTAGTGAGGGGCTGTAGTGCACGTCGGTGCTAGAAGAAAGGTGCTCAACACTTGAGGTGGACAACTCTTTCCCCGGGGGCACTAATTTTCATCTTTTTGTTTTATGACAAAATTAAAATTCCATTGCTGAAAAGACAGGAACAAAGGGGATTTGGGGAAACCAAACCCCTTTTGGCCCAATTATTTAAATTTAAAGGGGTTTGGGGGCCCTTCATCGAAGTCCACATTATTGTTAGCAATGCACTTTCTGACGATCCTACGTTATAGACCGCATTCAACGTTCTGTGGGCAAGCCCTTTATGTCCACCCACAGACGGGTAAATCACTTTAATTGGCATATTTAACACTTTTGCTAGTGCAATTATTGTCCACTGGGAAGAATATTTTCCTATCTGGGCACAATCACGCACAGCACTGTCGTAACTTGGTGACAGATCCTTCAGACTGGCTTTGTCCTTGTGATTGCGAATAACATTCTCCTCATTTATTAACATGAGAGCTGTTTTATACCTGAGTTCAACTGACTTTGTTTCGTTTCCAACAAGATATAAAGAAGCCG